ATAATATGTTTGCAGATATTTAAGAAACATGCTAAGTTAACATACTTGTTTATCTGAAAAACAATGCTAGTCTGTTATTCTCCTTTGAAAATGTGCGTTCCGGGCGGGAATGTCCGTCTCTGTTTTGGTTTGTGAAACTCGCCCACTGCCAGGAAGTGCAAGTGTCTGAGAGTGCAAGGCTGAGAATGCACGTCTGAGAGTGCAAGCTCCAGCTGCAGCCAGACCCTTCTCAATATTTTGAATTTGGACTGCAATACCTAGTTCAACCACTCGGTGTCAATCCTACATACAGCACCTTTAACCCTCAGGTGTTCATCACTTAGGGGCCACACTTGTGATCCTCGGCCATCTAAGTAGATAGAGAATAGAGAATAAGTATACATTTTTCTAATAAAATGAAGGAATGAGATGAACGAAATCCCCTCAAAGTACAAAATAATATATAATACGTATTATTAATACAGAACATAGTACATTCTGTTTCAGTAACATATTTTATATTTTGTATTTCATGTTACTAGACAATATTCATTAAATTCTGCACTATATATATATATATATATATATATATATATATAAAATAACATAACATAACATATTACAAAAAAACATTTCAGATTTTCTACAGTTAATAGAGTATCTATGTTAAAAACAGAGCAAAGGTATTTAAAATCCAATGCATGGAAGGCAGATTGGTAGCATCTGGTGAGAGAAATAACGAAAATCATATGTAATATAATGGTTAAACTACTAGATGCCTGCCTCCAAATATGTCTATCGCCTAGTTGGTTATAAGAGTAATTTCAGATGTTATTTTTAAATTTTATTAGGTTTTGCATTTTTATATGTACAGACATTATCAAAGACTACTTGATTGTGGCTGAATTTTAGATTGTATCCCTAAAAATTGCTCCATATTTTAGTATTTTTTGCATTTACCATTAATTTCATATGATGGTAATTTTGTGACTAAAGATCACAAGTGTGAAGTCAATTTTAGCCTTTTCTAATCACTTCCATGCTTTTTTTGTGTTCATATAGCAAGTGTCACAAAATCAGTTTTGTGCCATTCCGATGAAGTAAAAAAAAAATAAATTACAAAACGGTAAATTTTTCATTCTAAAATGACAAAGACCACCAGAAGGATAAAATGCTGTCATAAATTCACCTGCTGTGTTACTATGTGTAATGAAAACAATGTTTGATTTCTTCATGGCAGTGGCAGACACAACCTCCTTTGGGATCCAAGCAGATGTGACACTGAAGACTAATTTCTTTACTACTAGAGATATGTGCAATGTGTTCTTGCCCATTATCAAACCAGGAGGTAAGTCGTGTCAGTTACACCTTGCCTGGTGGTTTTCTCTTCTCTTTTATTCCTTCAAACACTCATATTTCTTTCTAGGTCGGATAGTGAATGTCTCCAGCGTAATGGGCTCGGTGGCTTTAAGCCGCTGCAGTCCAGAACTCCAGGCCTGTTTCCGAAGCAATGACGATACAGAGGAAGAGCTTGTTGGGCTGATGGAGCGTTTCGTCCGTGACGCTCAGGAAGGGGTCCATGCAGAGCGAGGTTGGCCTAGCACTGCATATGGGGTCTCCAAAACTGGCCTCACAACCCTGACTAGAATCCTAGCCCGAAATCTGACGAAAGAGAGGCCTGGAGATAAGATCCTCTGCAATGCCTGCTGTCCAGGATGGGTCAGGACCGGCATGGCTGGACCAAATGCAACCAAGTCACCAGATGAGGGCGCCGTCACTCCAGTGTACTTGGCATTGCTGCCTGCAGGGGCTAAAGAGCCCCATGGGCAGTTTGTTTCAGAGAAGAAAGTGCAGCCATGGTGAGAGGTAGAAAGAGTAATCATATATGTTTGTGTTGCAAAGCTGGAGTCAAGTTCAGACACACCCAGAGAGACCCATCAATATTTAGACAGGCTATTTCTAGAAAGTTTTGGGCGGAACTCAGACTGAACCCTTGACAGAAGACTTCAGGTACTCCAAAAAGTTACTATGTGCATTGTGTACTTTATTATTGTAAATACAACACAAAAAGCTTTAAAATTTGATCAACGTTTTGGTGAATAGACAAATTGAATATCATAATCTGGAAGTTAAATTTAACAACCAAAATTTTGTGCTCAAAGAGCCACATTGCAGGATTTATGTGGTTTTAAAGGAATAGTTCACCAAAAAAGTAAAAAAAATAGCAGAAAATGTTCTCAACCTCAGGTCATCCAAGTTGTAGACAAGTTTGTTTCTTCATTGGAGCAGATTTGGAGAAATGTAGCATTACATCACTTGCTCACCAATGGATCCTCTGCAGTGAATGGGTGCCGTCAGAATGAGAGTCCAACAGCAGTATGTTTATTACAAATATGTAGCTTTTCATTTCACAAAATGTTAATTGATGGACTGGAGTCATGTGGATCACTTGTGGATTATTATGTTTTTATCATATGTTTGGACTGTCATTCTGACGGCACCCATTCACTGCAGAGGATCCATTGGTGAGCAAGTGATGTAATGCTACATTTCTCTGAATCTGTTCCAATGAAGAAACCAACTCATCTACATTTTGGATTGCCTGAGGGTGAGTACATTTTTAGCAAATTTTCATAAATTTGAGAACTCTCCCTTTAAGATTAAGACCTTTAGTTTAGAACTCCAGCTTGTGTATGTGTTAAATATTTGAAGATGCAAAATGCACAAATACAACAATTGTTAACTATATCAATTAATCCTAAATTAATAATTAATTTTACTCACCTTGCTAGGTTCAATGATGAGTGCTGTACCTATAAAAATGCTGATAAAAATGTCATTAATCTGGAAAAGTAAACGGTGAATTACAAAAATAAAATTCCATGATGTTTCTCACCTAGTTGTATTGCTTCTTCTTGAAATGCATTTGATGAGTATGTCTGAAGAGTTTAGAACAAACCACTGGTTTGTAAGAGGCCACTTAATATCCAGCAACCTCGCTATGTCTGAAGTACAGTATATAAGCTGGCATTTAAAACACCTGCTTAAATAAAAGCTGCATTTCAAAGAAGAAAATAAAGATGTGTCAGGTTACACATTCGTACCAGCATTTATTGCTCACAACAATATGTGAGGAACTCCTTTAGAAGTCTCAGCGGGTGCATAGCTGGAGTGTGAGAGCAGGGTGTGCACTATATCTGGACACAGACTGCAAAAGCTCCTCAGTAAGTTAACAAACGCTTCTCTGCAGCTTTCTTCAATATCTAACATAGATCTTCCAGCAAAAATGGCAGCTAGAAAAAGTGGCATTCCTCTGAGCACAGTAAGTAACGTGCATTTATCAGTTTTGTTGTAGTTTATTATTTTAATAAATTATTATAATTATAATAATAAATTATTTTAATGTAGTTTATTATCTCCTATTCAAAAAAGTTGCAATAGTTTTGAGCTTGTATTTTTATTATGCATTTTTTTTGTAATTTTGTAATATATTTTATTGTTATACAATTTTTATTGTTTTATAGTTAACATTTTTTAAAATCATTATTTATAATATTCTACCTCAAAATGAAATTTTATGACAATATATCAATCAATTAAAAATATATACAAATAGTAACACACTGAAAAAAAATGTTGGTGTAGAAACTATTTTGACTCCGAAATTGCTGGTAAATTTCACAAATAATTACAAATAAATGGCAAGTAACACATTGAATTAAACATGAAATTCTGAAGTAGAAAGTAAAATGCACAATAAGCTTTATAAAAAATTTTTGTACAACTTCGAAAAATCAGTGTAGTAATTGCAAGATGCATGTTAAATAATTAGTAGAATGTGAGCAAAAACATTGCTTTTTAATGAAATATTTTAGCATTTCATGCTTCTTTTCCAATCAGCATCCTATTTTCTTTATGCAGATTAGTCCAAAATTTCTTCATGCTAATTCCACAAGTCACACCTGGCCATTCAGTGCTATAGCTGAGCTGATCGGTGAGTTCTCTAAATCACACTTATGTCAGCTTATTTGATAAAACACATTTAGACAACAAGTTGAAATTTTGGGTTTCTCATTATGGTGTTGGCATATTTCAAAACAGTTCATTAGATGCTCCAGTTAGTTGAAATATTCTTTAGTTTGTGAACTGTGAATTGTGTTGCAGATAATTCGTATGACCCAGATGTTCGTGCCAGACAGATCTGGATAGACTGGACACGCGTCAGAGGACTAGACTGCCTCTCTTTCATGGATAATGGGGAGGGTTTGACCAGAGCCAGACTACATAAGATGCTCAGGTACAAAGCACTACAGCCTGTCCATTTACTTAAGCTGATTTATTATTCATTTTAAGTACAGCAAGTAAAAAGTGTGTTAAATGGACTTGTAATTACTGGTTGCTATAATTGCAAGAGAATTAAGAACTCTTATTCAGTTAATTCAAGCGATTCACAGTGGTCTTATGTCTTTAGCACTAAAAGCCTATAACATTAAACCAACACTGGAGTGCTGGGGCCCACTGCCAGAATAATTAAGGACACCTAATTGGCTTCTTGTAATCACTATACTTATCATGCTGTGAATGAATTCAGCTGCTTATTAGTGTAAACCTTTGAGTAGGTTAAGTAATTTCTTGATGAAAGTATGGTCAGATATGTGATATACTGCTACAGATGTACCTTTCAAAAGTTTAGGGCTGGTACACTAAGGTTGCATTTATGTGATCAAAATGTAATAACAGTAATATTGTGAAATATTACTACAGTTTAAAATCATTGTTTTCCATTTTAATATATTTTGCTGAAAAGTATTAATTAAAAAAACAACAACGTATGAACAGTACTTTTGAAACATTTGAACGGTAGTGTATGTAATGCATGTTAACAAATTTTCCTGATGTTTTTAAGCTTTGGTTTCAGTGAGAAGAAAGCAGCAAAATTTCACATTCCAATTGGTGTGTATGGCAATGGGTTTAAATCAGGGTCCATGCGTCTGGGAAAAGATGCCATTGTTTTCACGAAGACCAGAGACACCATGAGTGTGGGACTCCTGTCCCAGTCTTACCTTGAGGCCATAGGAGCACAGCGAGTCTTGGTGCCCATGATCACATTTAGACGCGATGGACATAACCAGTAATCTTCTACAGCTTTCTTTTCAATTTTATTAAAGGGATAGTTCACCCAAAAATGAAAATTCTGTCATTAATTACTCACCCTTAAGTCGTTTCAAACCCGTAAGACCTTCGTTCATCTTCGGAACACAAATTAAGATATTTTTGATGAAATCCGAGAGCTTATCTCGTAGCTTCATAACATTACGGTTGAACCTCTGATGTCACATGGACTATTTTAATGATGTCCTTAATACATTTCTTGGCCTTGAACGTGATAGTTCTGTTGCTGTCTATGCAGGGTCAGAAAGCTCTCGGATTTCATCAAAAATATCTTCATTTGTGTTCTGAAGATGAACGAAGGTCTTACAGGTTCAGAACGACATGAGCATGAGTAATTAATGACCGAATTTTCATTTTTGGGTGAACTATCCCTTTAAAGCTTGTGCAAAGATCCCAATTGACTGTTTTAATTCATATTTTAATTGCATTTATGCGGATGCATTTCTTAAGCTTTGAGTGAAACTGAATTCTTGACCTCACTAGTGTAGAGGATGGAGGCAGTCTGAGAGCGATCCTCACACACTCGCTCTTCAACTCCGAGAAAGAGCTGTTTACAGAGCTCCGCGCCATCAGCGCTGCCGGAACCACCACAGGAACACGCATCATCATCTGGAACCTTCGCACGTAAGCTCCGCTGGATACATGCACAAATGGATGCATTAAATGACTGATGGCTGGGGAGAATATTTCTGTTTTAAATCATTGCTGTACTTGGAAACTTTCAGGGATGCTTCACAAAACTTTCTTATGAATTTCACAAACATATTAAGCAGTACAACTGTTTTCAACATTAATAAAAATAAGACAAATCAGCATATTAGAATGATTTCTGAAGGAACACGTGACACTGAAGACTGGGGTAATGATGCTGAAAATTCAGCTTCGCCATCACAGAAATAAATTACATTATATATTAAAATAGAAAATAGCTACTTAAAATTGTAATAATATTTTCAATATTACTGATTTTACTATATTTTTGATCAAATAAATGCATGAAAGCTATGAAAGCCCGTTTCCACCACGGAATAAAATAATGTAAAAAGTAATTGTGACTGTGTTTCTCACAATCATGACATTTTTCCTGCAAAAGTTTATATCTCACAATTCGTTCTTATAATTCTGAGAAAAAAAATCTGAATTGCGAGATATAAACTCAGAACTGCAAGATATTAAATCACAACTACATAGATATACACTGACAATTCTGAAAAGAAAAATATGAATTGTGAAATATAAACTCGCAACTGTGAAGAAAAATGTAAGAACTGTGAGTTAAAGCAGCACTATGTAACTTTTTCTGTGTTCAAAATTAGTAAAATGTATATAATGAGCGAGTACATCATGAATTCATCTTCCAAACCGCGTTTTTTGTCTTATTCCGAATCACTACGGTACACTTATAATAAGTGCTTATATTCGGACTATTGTTGCCTGGTCGGGTCGTCACCGCTGTGGAGTAACACATACCTGCGTGAATCGCCATAGACATAAACTTAGAGAAGTAATAACAAACATAGTGCTGCTTTAAAAAGTCATAATTACCTTTTTAATTTTTCAAAAACATAAAAAAATCTTACAGACCCAAATTGTGTGTTTTTCAGGACCGCAAATGGAGAGACTGAATTTGACTTTGACACAGATAAGTATGACATTCTGATCAGGGTGAACATCAGTGACAAGAGCAACATGACCCCAGAAAGTGAATACTCCTTACGGGTGAGCAGAGCATATCTCGCAAGAATATGGCATGCTTTTATACTTACTAGTAGGAATATACATTATCTTGTCTATGTTCTATTGAAAAGAGACAAATATATCAATTGGAGGGGAGGGGATAAAAAAATCAGACTGTTTGGTGACGGGTTAGGAGGAATATTGATTCTTCATGTTTTTGTAATGTAGGCATACTCTAGCATCTTATACCTGAAGCCTCGTATGCAAATCATTATTCGAGGGCAAAGAGTGAAAAGTCAGCTGATATCCAAAAGTCTGGCTCATATTGCACAGGACAACTACAGACCCTCATTCCTTGTATCCTTAGAAAATATATTGTTTTTTTGAGTGCA